CTAAATCCTACACACTTGACCTTTTAATTTAGGAAACAAATACTTTGGCAACCCAGCCTGGTTGGATCCACATAAAGTTTGTAACTTTTGTAAATGTCATAATACCAGCCACAAGGTCAGAATGTCACAGCTAGAACTAACTTCCCCATCCTGAGAATGAATCCTTGATGTTTCAGCTCCACTGAAGACTGTGTCATTGTTAACCTACCTTGCTATTAATTTTGAATTGTCATCACACTTCACAGGGTATATGTGTTGTGAACAACTTCAAAGGCGTCCACAGTGCAGCAGCTAAACAGAAAACTGAAGATTACCGCGGTCTGCCTCTGATGACTTTCCCCCGTGTAGAGAGCCCTCTGGAGACCCTCAGCGCACAGGTACCTCAAAACACTTAACCTGGCATCTCAAAAACTTAATCTCTATGATGCACATTATCTTTCCCCATTAATTGCCAGAGCTCCCTCAAGACCACAAGCTTAGAAAAAAATCCCCCTTCACATACTTTGAGTTTACTACTACTGTAATTTGGTTTGTACTGTAATTTGCTGTTACTGTAATTTGTTGTAATTTATATTCATGTCCTGCCTCAATTAGTAGTTTTCCTATATGTCCTGAAATTCCCAAAGGGTGTTGCATTAATCAAATAAAAACAGGGTTTCTTTTCTTTCTTTCTTTCTTTTTTCTTTCTTCTCATTTCTTTCTTTCTTTCTCTTTACACAAAGCAATGACACATGTTCAAAAGAACATACGGGCATGACATTTTGCACTACACCCCTGTACTTCTTCCCAGTTGCACAGAAACATATACAGAACCTCACACAGAGCACTCCTGATATTGGTTGACAATAATTTCCTCTACCTTTTCATTTCCACACATTTCCCTCCTTTCTTTACTACTTTCTTTCTTATTCCTCTCAACACTTATACTCCATCCCTCCTCCCACGTCCATTTTCAGAACCACTCGGCATCGATGACGGAGGTCACATGACTAAGGGGGCAGCACCGGGTCACGTTTGCGTCTCCACAGCACTTCCAGACACAATGACGAGGACGCATGCCACGTGGCTCCGAATGCTTGACAAAAAACACTCCTGATATATCTGTTTAATTCACCTAGGGGACAAAATACAACATGTTTCTTATGGTTCTCATCTAGTTGGGCTATGCTCAATTCAACCTGCCAAGGCACACAGATCTCATCAGTTGTAAAAATATCACAAGGCAAACTTAAGCACAGATTGTTTTTTCCAGATACTTGAAACCATTTGAAACATGGGACATTTTTTCCCTCCAAGGTGTGCTGTTTGTAGTTAGAGGACAGTGTTTTGTACATTTTTGTATGAGCGAGTGCTGTAGCCTATCCTGACGGTGTTAAACCTGCACACTTCCTGTCAGCTGACTCACTTTGTTTTACATCACATCCTGTCAGGTGACTTGCCTCGTTGATCACCACATCTATCCCCCTCAGTCTGAAAAATCTGCTATGGAAAAAATATTGATGTTGTTGTTCTGTGATGTATGTCATTTGTACAGAGAAAAAAGACAGAATCCTTCTTTTTATTATCTCTTTCTGTACATTTATTGACCATGTCAGGTCATATTTTGTAAAGATTTTTGTCAATCTGTATGACTATTATGATCCATTTGGACCTGTTTGCCTGCTGTAAACCTGGATATGTTTTGGTATCAGTTTTAGGTGTTTTGGGGAACAACCCCAATCCCCTTTGGAGGAAATGACAAGGAAGAGTCAGTGACATCCTCCGAGTCAGAAAATGGGGTTTGGCACTTGCACCGCCATGTTATCAGTCACAATGAAAGTGAAATATGATTGGTTGAAATGATCACTCTGTGTGTGTTTCACCCCAATTTCCTGATTCACTGTGATGTTAATAGGGTTTTTTCTACAGAGGGGTCTAGTAGGGCTAGCCTGTGCCAGATCTACCTGAAGATTTCACTCGTAAGGCTGTACATTTATATTTAAACTGAAATCCCAATGGAAGACACTGCTATAAAATACATGGAAAAAAGAAAAAGAGAGACAGAAATGCTCATTGGAGTGAAACTCAGTGACTTACTTAAGGCCTGGCTAGCTCTTTTATTGGAAACCAGGCTAATGACTCCTGCTTCACTTTTCCTCCTTGAGGCACCCCATCCCCTCCCCGAAACCAAACCAGTGGATTGTGATGCAATGTTGTGACTCCATTTCTCATTGGAAGATACGCCCAGCATGAAGAAAGAACTCAAGATGTTTTATAGATATTCATGATTTCAACTATACTCATTATCATTGTGGTTATAAACGTCTTTTACTTTGAGAACAAAAAAAGCATTTTATTGGAAATGCTGCATATATATATTTTTTCTTGGTTTGTCCACAAATTAAATAGTCAGTAGCAACACTGTTCTCTTGTGTTTTTTATTATGTGTCAGAATGCTCAAATGCAAATGGTAACTTTATTTTTCCTATCATAAAAAAAAGACATTGAGTGATCACAAACTGTAAAAAGTCTATGGAACTTATGTATTAATATTGTACAAAACAGGGCGATGGCACACACTAGAAACATGACTTGTCCATTTACAAATACTGTGTCATTGTTTCTATTGGCTGCTTGTTCACATCCACACGGTCAAAGCTGCACAAAGTTGAACTTAACTGGAAGTCACCCTAGCTCTAAACATGTGATCGGTAAAAGTAGAAGGAGGTTACGTTCAGGGGGAAAACACCCATAAAATATGTAAGCATGATGCTTAAAGTAATTAAATAATTCCAGGACAACTTCAGTAAATAGATAATAAGTTTTTAATGCTTGAAAGTTTCTCACAGGACTAGTACGTCTTCAGGGTTGTTCTTCAAAAAATCTAAAATTTCTTATTTATGCAGGAGACAAGGAAAGGAGACACCTGATTTCTCACACTGTTGCCTCTGAGAATGGGTCAGGACAAAAATATGTTGTTTTAGCAAACCTATGTTTAGACAGGCCCCCAAAAAGTAAATATGAATATGACTTTATTTTTCACATGAACCAAGTGTCAAATCCTGTGAGGCAGACCTTTTCTCCTCACCCCACTGCCATCCAACCACACATGCTACCTGGACAAGTGATTAGAATGAGCACAGATACGCTAAAATCAGGCTGTTATTTAGTTTTTCTGTTGATTCATCCGGTTACGACTGCAGCGACTTCAGTGATGTTTATGTCACAGCTAAGCAAGGCATACACACACAGAGACACAAAGAAAGCTGACGGCTCAGTCAGTGCACTTGCTCTTTTGCTCTGTCAGGTATTCATTTCAGCTGTGACAGCCTGCGCTTACCCTGCAGACACACTGGCTAAATAGATAGGGACTGTGTGTGTGTGTGTGTAGGGCAGTATTTGACCATGCCATGTGTTTATAAAATGTCATCCTTCGCTGTTCTGAGTATGCCTTCCTGTCCAAATTGCTGTCCCCCAGCAGTATGACTGAAGAATAGTGCAACAACCAAATATCCTTTCAAGGTGTGCAGCAAAGCTCTGAGTGGGTTGGTTATGTATATAGCTGCAGGTTATTTTTTTTAAAAACCATAATGGAATCTATTTAGATGGGAGAAAATGAGTAACTGCAAGTGAATCTCAATGGCCGACTTGGGGGCGAAAAATTACAGCATATAAATCCTCAATGCACAGTTTGATTGCCGTGCCCTCGATGTCAGCCATTGTTCTGTACCACTGGTTTCACTGATTAATCTTCATCACCTATTCACATAGCACATCCCTTAAGTCCTCGAGAAAGTAGCACGATAGTCATCAGGACTCCGGTCTTGATTTAAGTCAGTTGTCAGTAAATTAATTTTGTTGCTAGGTGACATTAGGGTTGTTAAAATGAAACACTGTCATTACTTACAGTTTCAAGGTTATGGAGGCGTAATACAGTAATTAAAAACCAAACAGAGGTGCATCTGTGCACTACTGTCCTATATTCTGCGTTGTTATTTGTAATGGATATTCTATATTCATGTGTAAGGTAGTTAGAACATTTTAGGGAGATTAAAGAAAAAAACTGAAATGAAGTGCAAAGAAGAGAGGTAAGTTTTTAATAACAGAACACATCCAAACGCAAACAGAAAAGATGCAAGAAAACAGGTCTCATCACAGAAGGACTGTTTCAGTGTGTTCAGTTGTGATCAATCATCATATTCAAATAAGATGTCAGAGTTTGACTAGTGGTCTATGTTCATTTTTACGTTTACTATTTAACAAGGGGCTTGTACCAAAAATGGAATGGTAGGCCTGTGTTGTGTCACGAGACTACCAGAGCACCGATATGATCTCAAGTGGCGGGGTAAGAAGGCTCTGTTTTAGGTCCCTGATGGAAAAAGCTGAAGACCTTTGGATTTATGTATTACCGTTTAATGTATTTCTTCTTCAGATCCTGTGTTGTTTATAACCCCGAAACCACTATGAAGAAGAAAAACGTCCAGGCCATAAGTCAAACTCTGACGAGTTAAATGATGACTTGTAGGTGCAGCTTTCTTTAAGGAACTAGAAGTGCATTGGTGGAGTGCAGAACATTATACAGTGATCCCTAAAATAACATTTTGTATTGTCTTATCCACCACCAGATGCCGACCAGATGTTGATGATTATAGAGGTGTCTTGTTGAAGCTTTATATCTTTTTTTTTTGTTCTTTACTGTAATAACTTCTCCACCAACCCATTGTAAGGTGCACTAGAAAAAAATTATCTAATGCATTTTCAAAGGCCAGAATCATTAGGTCATAACTGATCACCAAATTGTATTTCTTTTCTTTCCCTGTTAAAGGTACAAGATTTCAGCAACACACAAGGACATAAATACTTAAGTGGCTGGGTTCAACTTCAGGTCATTTACACTTTCAATGAGTCTCAACATAAGACTCAGGTGAATTAGGCCATTAAGCTTAAATACCAAAGAGTCGTCATATCTATGATAAAGCTTATCATCATGGCAAGCAAATCTGTACCCTTGAAGAGACAAGGCTTAAAAGGGAAGGGATGAGCGGGACAAGAGGAAGAGGCAGAGGAGTAGGCATGGTAGTAAAAGGAAAATATGAAGGGATCAGAAAGAGGTGAAAAGGAGGTGAAGAAAATGGGGGAAGGGAAGTTAAGAAGAGGAAGTTTTGCACAGCTCTTCAATGACAGCAACAAGCTAATGACAACAGATTTGATTCAGGGTCCCTGGTTTACCTTTGTCCAATGCCTCCCGTCTAAGTAGATCTCATGTTCCAGAAGTCAAACAAGGTTCTCCTTGAGTTACAGAGCTGGATCTGATCCCTGGAGAACATTTCAGTCCAGCGTTCAGGGGAACTCCTGAGCCCAACAGAGGATTTAGCTTCCAGAAATCTTCAAACAACCTCACCAAAGGATCCTTTTCCAGAACCTACAGGAAGTTTTGGAAACTAGTCCCATGTCTATCCTGGTTCCTCTGGGCAAAACAAAAGAGGAAAGCTTTAAAACTCCGGGAGTGTGTTTGTGTGTTGGTTAGTCTGCTGGTGGGACTGGGTATACTGACCAAACTGGTTAGACTGGTGAGTAGTGGGCTGACAGGGTGCAGTCTGGTTTGCTTGCTGGTTTTCTGATTGGTACTGTTCTAGCTCTCTCTTCCTCCTCATGGCTGACTGCAGCTGCTGCTTGATTACAAGGATTTGACCCTCCAGTTCTGACAGCTCCTGAACCAGCGGGTTCTTGCCTACACCCAGACCGGGGCCACAGTCGCCTGCACCCAAACCCCGGCACTGTCCCGATGTTATGCCCTGCCCGGAGCCTCCCTGCCCTGGCCCAAGACCTGGGCCTAGCACCCGCCCTAAAAGGTCAGAGCGACCGTTAGAGTTGGTCACTATTGGCAGGTGTTTCTCCAGAAGGGGAAGAGAATGGGGAGGAAGGGGAGATGGGGGTGGTGGAAGAGGAAGATCCTGGGAAGATTGGCGTTCCAGGTCATTTTGCATCTCTTGTGGAAGGACCCTGCGTCTGTTGCAGTGGGAGGACTCTGCAGGATTCCAAGATGCTGACTGGTTGTTTCCCTCATTGCACCTGGAGGTAAGACAGATATATAGAGAAGTGTAAGGTGGCATTTTTATTTCTGCTATTGTGAAGAGGCTCATGTCGAGATTCCTGGAGGAAAACAAACAACCAGGGTGAATGCTCGCAAAGAGGTAGTGCCAGTGTTCTCCTTGAATGTCCCAATAAATGAAAAATGCCTTTTTGTGCATCCCTAAGTGAACTGTTCTGCTATTTATTGCTATTAGGAGCTTGGCTTAGGGATGGCAACATCTGTGTGTGTTTGCTTGGTCAGTCAGTCCACCACTTTTGTCCGGACTGAAGTGTCTCAACTATTGGACTATTTTGAACAGACATATTCAAATTTTAGTTTTTTTGTAAAATATCCTGACATATTTTGGAAGTATTGCCATACAATTGTATACACACCTTCATATTCCCCTCTGGAGGAAATAATTATCCTTTAGCACCACCATTACATCAGATTTTAATTTATCCATTACTTTGGTTTATGACCAAATTCCTGCAGAACGGATGATATTCCCATCAGCCTCAGCTGTATTTAATGCTGAGTACCAAATTGTCTTTGCTAACATGCTAAAATTCTTAGAGTTGTTAACAACATGCTGACAATGACAATTATAAGTAAAAGTATAGCCACAGAGCCACTAGCCTGGCTGTATACTCCTAGTCTTATTTTAGTCAGAAACCTACGCTTTCCATATCAAATTAGTCTGAATAGGTTTGATCATTAACTTTACACTTAGATGTATATATGATCGTGGATTTTGTGGTTATTTTGTAGTAATTCAGGTTACTCCTGGGGTTTTCACTGAGCTGGGGGAAAAAGCTTTCTCTTACTTACTTTTACTGCATCTTAATGATCTAGTCCCATTGGAAGAATTTAAGGCTATGTAAACTGTAACTGGTGTGCTGTCTTGGCCAGGTCTCCCTCTGAGAAAAGATTTCAATCTCAAGGGACTTCCTGGTTAAATTAATAAAAATAAAAATAGTTGGTCAAGACTGTCATCCATAATGACATTTAGCAGCAAATCCTTATTTTAAGCCATATTAAAATCATGTATGACATTCTCTCTACTGTATGACCTTATCTCTCTTTTTTATGTTTTACTACGGTGTATTGAGCTGGCCTAATGGTCAAGTTACCAACCTATTTTGTGATAACATGCCCATTATAGTAAGAGTAAGAAGGGTACATCCAATAAACATTGTGCATCTGTTGTTGAGGATTTTGATGCTACAGTTAAAGCAGCCAATAATGCCATAATCATGTCATTATTGAAATATAATATTATTATTATATATTTGTTTTAATGAATATCCCCTAACAACTTGCAGGTATTTAAGACACATAACAAGACCTTGACTGTCAAGGAGCCCTGGTAGACGTCAAATTCATGTCCAATTAATTCCCCCCCCCCCCCAGCCTCCAGCTTTCCAACCTGGAAGGATCTACGCTTCGTATTTAAGCTAATGAGACCTAGCAGCAGTAACGTGGGTTGGAGGTGTGAGGTGTCAGTTCAACATCACTAATGTCATATTCAATCACCTGACAAATCCTTTATCTTCACGCTGTTCCTGGGAGTGATGGGGGAGTGAGAGAGTGAGAGTGATCCTCAATCAGTGTCAATTTTACAGCATTTGTCCTGCCTTCTTTTCAACTCATTTATTGTGCATAATCATGTTTCATGTACTGTGGAAGAATCACAAACCACAGGAATTTTTTTCTCAAAGCTATTTCACTGCATCTTTAAAGCCAGACAAACATCCAACCATGGTTCTCCTTGGTGACATATCAATCCCTTTGATTGCAGTGGCCATGAAAAACTCCTGCAACATCAAGTCACCTTGGTCCTTTACCCATAGCTTCCCCTTTTTTCACAGCATCAGCACATGTTAGGAGGAAGGCAGAGAGAAAGTGGCATCACCAATACATGATTTGATATTACACAAGGCTGATGTCAGCTAGGGTTTAGAGAAAATACCAGCGAGTGTCCTTGCTTTTATGCTTCACCAAACTATGGAAATAGCAAACTTCTCAATGCAAGGCATTTAATTGATTCTGAATATTTTGTTACTGAAATGTTTATCTTTTGGGTAACACATAATCAGCTTTATGGTATTGAACTTTTTGTAGTCGGCTGATTACTGACTTTTTTAGTCTACTAAAAAAACATTATGAGGTGTTTCGATGAGTCAGTGAATTAAATGCCAGGTAAGGACAACAGCCCAAATTCTTATTTAAACAAACAAAACAAGGGAGGTATTTTTAAGACAAAATTATATTTATAAGAATTGTGTAGTAGTAAACAGATTACTAATCATAGAGTTATGGTACAATCTAAAAAAAATCAACTTGAAACTTTTTTATGAACATAAACTTTAGGCATTATACAAAGTTCCTGAGATCACTTTGTGCTCTCTATAACTGAAAATAAAAACACAACCACAACAGAATATAAAGTGCCAATACAATATAATATACTCCCAGTCAACTCTAATGTTTCCTGCAGTCATTTATAGGGTGGCTCTGACTTGCCATAGTCTCAGAAAAGAACAAAATTTGGTTTCCTCTTAAACTTTTCCACATTTATTGGACCAGATCTGCAAGCTGAAAAATAACCATGATTTCATTAAGGAGTATAGAAGAGAGATTCCCATCATACGGATTGAAGCCTAACTTAAGAACCATCTGAATCAAAGGTATTTTGCTGTTGATAAAAAAAGTGACAAGAAGAATCTAATGAGATACTCCTGACATCAAAAGAGACCTTAAGCTGAAGGATGAGACATCAGAATATAGGAACATAAAAAGGATCTCATCTTAAAATGATATATGCACACTTTGACAAGAAGGCACCTGTGCTTACATATGGCTGCAAAGAAAGAGGGAATATTTGTGGTTAACATTATCAGATCTCTTAAGCCTAAAGTCTTCAAATAATCACCCCATTTCAGCATCTTTATGGACATTACCTGTTTGTGTCAGTGTGCTAAATTTTATAGCACAGATGTTCTCTAACTAATTATACTACATCACATCAGCTAGGTGATCTGAGGCAGGTCCCTGATAGGCGTTACACCGTCTAGACTGAAAACAGTTGTTGGCTGAGCTTTTGTGCCATTAGCCCTCAATGAATGTGGAAACATTGGGCTTTTAAATCACGGCTTTTTTATTTATTTATTTTTTACATTTTTCGCTTTGTGTGCCGTGCTTTTGCTTTAATTGTTGATAATTATCTCTTATTTTTTATTCTTTCAAAGTTTCTAGTCTTTCTGCACAACTAAAAAGTCCTATTCCTCTGTTTTTCCGCTCAGCCTCTATAACTTAATTTCCTTAGCATTTAGGAGTCCATGTGTTACTCCCACATGAAAGGGGGGAGCTCTTTCAACTTTCATGGTATGAAGATGATTGAGACAGAGCTCACATAATGTCACTGGAAAATATATAAACACTTCTCACACAAAATGTCTGTTGTTTTTTTCTTTTGCCTGGTAGAGATTCCGACAAGAAATAATGATATCAAGGTCAGAAAGGAAACTGTGCACCACGCAGTGTTGGTAAGTGTGCAGATGAAAAGCATGCTGAAATACAAATCATTATATTTTTCTGCATGTTAGGATGCCCTTCCACATCACCATTATTTTCCAAAATGATTAAAAGGAATTCACCCTAAAATATCAGTGACTTTATACAAAAAATATCTGTTGTGTGAGATCTGAAAGAAGGAACTACACATTTAAGATTTTAAACTTAAGAGCTGTGAAGCTCATTATTGTGTTCCTCTGAATGACATCACAGGAAGTCTCCTTTTCTAACTCAAAAACAAGCTCTTTGTTTTACATTCTGTATATGAAGAGGCCAGGGGCCTATATACACACAACTAAAAGTCAGCCTATTTTTTTCCTCATCAATTACAGAGATAATTTAGTTTACACAACTTGGAAGGTGTGATACCCTTGTTCCTTTTTTTCAGAGAGGCAAAATCCCTCTTCCCCACACCATTAGCAGTTCTTAGTTTTCAGAGATATCTGGTCTCTACTTCTGGTTTACAGGGTCACCACATTCCTCTCATTACATCCTATCTTGCATTTATGTTTCATAAATGTTGATTTTCTCCATACGCAGTGGTTTTATAAATGTCCTTGGAACCTACTGTGGATACAGGGGGTAGCTAGCAAGCCAACCTGGAGGGGTTTCATGCCAGCCGGCCAGTCTGCTCACGGACCCCTCTTGCCCAACAGTCACATAGACCACTGCAGCCAACACAGCAGACAACTTCAGCAACATTTTTATCAACTGTTCCATATTTATTATGTTTAGTTAAGCACTGCTTTGGGTGAACATTATAAGATAACTTATACAGCCAGAGACAAACGCTAAGTTAGCAACATTCTCCTCCTCCTCCTGGCGTGTATTTGCCTCCTCAGCTCAGCATCCTCTTCTGCTTCTCAGGAAAATATACCCACGGTAGCTGCTAATGCTGCCTGCTAATTTACATTAATTCTTTATTCTTTTAATCAAACATGAACCACAAACAATAGCCTTTAGTGCCCCTCTTGCCCCCTTTTTTCTACCTTAATTTGCCTGAAAATAATACTGGAAAATATTACATTGAGTGTAACAGGAAATGTTCATTTACGTTTGTAATAAACTATTTTTTATTCAGTGGTAGCTTGGACCATAATGTTGTAATTGGTCGGAATAAGTCAGACCTATCTCAGAGCTTGTTGTGATCGATACAGCCATACAGAGAAGACGTTATGTTTGAATATACTCCAATGTGAACTGTCGGCATACTTTATCCATTTAGTAGACAGTATGCAATTGAAATACTGACAGAGTAGTAAGCAGTATGTTACATGTGATCTCAAACACAGCCACAGTCATGTTTTCCTGCAGCAGTTACATCCTTAGAATGGAATATTTCACCACTGACCAGTATTTCCCAACCCATCTGTCAGTACAGATGCTGCTGTCAGCAGTCACAACAAGACATAGGCACAGCTTGTAGTACAGTGAATAGGGAGGCTGTCCTTCAACAAGCACGACACAGGTGCACCAGAAAGATATGCACCCTGCTGAAGTGTCCTTGAGCAAGCCACTGAATCCCTACCACATGTGGGGTTGCAGCACTTTACAGCTTTGAATGACCTCTTGACCATCTTGTGGAAGGGGATTACATTAATGTGATATTTGGTCTTCTTGTTTTCACCTGTCATACAGTGGCTCTTATCGGTTGTGCTTGCGCTCCTCTAAAATTGTGGCGATGGTGTGCTATACAAAAATTACACAGCAGGAGTGAAACAGGGAAGCACAATCCCAGCCCAATTATTTCACTTTCACACTGAAGAGTTGCTCTGGTTGCAGAAAAAGGAAACTAACTCTAGGAAGTGAGGAATCAAAAGCAAAATACAAACCTGAACGTCCCAGATATTGCATGATTTACTGTATTTGTTATCCTACATGAATAACAAATAAACAAACAAACAAAACATTAAATACACAAAATTCAAATACATATTAAAATATAATTCTAATATATATTATAATACATGAAATTAATATTGCTTTAAAACTCAAGATTAATATAATGTAAATGCTATATTGATTAAGCTGTGACTAATTTTAGTAATAATAAGTATAAGTGAACAGTGGTAATGGTCCTATAAAAAAAAATCTTCATTCAAACGACTAGCTGAATTATATTCTGATATACTTGATCTACTAGAAGTGACCAAAATTCATATTTTAGTGTGGATGTCAGGTCTTTTCTCAAGCTACATGACCTTAACACTAAATCACAAGATCTTAATTGGACATCACAGAGCGTTTCAGGGTATCACAGACACTGCTAGTAACACACTTCTCTGATGCCTTTGGGCTTTTCTACAACACTGTTAGCAGATATAGAAAATTAAATACATTATGGTTCCATCCTCAGTGGTTGTTTTAAGCCATCAGCCATGTAAATACCATATTTACATTCTCTATGGTGTACTGCAGTAGTAGCACTGAAAGTTTTTGGTGAATCTTCTTTGAACCGACCTCATGCTGGCACCATTTACAGCACAAAATCTCACGCACATAAAAGGTGAGACAGACATTTCTGACACGCCGAGTGTCTGCAGGACACTGACGATATGACAGTTATAATGTCTGACTCTTAGACAGCGTGCAGACACGATGCAGAAGAGCTTGATTGAATGAGCGTAATTATATAGCAGTAGGTAATCTATCCTCATTACCACAGGCATCCCTCACATGGCCTTGGCTCCATAATTATTACGTGTATTTAATCCCCACTTTAAGTGGTCCACCTGAGTGTCCTCTTCGTGTGTGGTGCTAAGTAGGGATAGATGGGAAATTGAGCTCTGCAGAATTTTTCCAACAGAGTAAAGATAAAATGGAACTCATTTGCTCAGCAAAAGCTTGAGGGTTGTTTTGATCTCTGCTTAGAAGCCTTAAAAAAAGAGCGATACGATTCCCACTTTGCTTACCCTACATCAGATATGCTTATCTGATAGCAAAGAGGAAGCTCCAATGTGACATTAAACATGGCAATGTGAGCAGTGATCAAATGTGAATAAAACGGGCTACAGTGTCACACACACACACGCACTGCAGTGGTGGTGTCAAAATGACTGTGAAGGTTTATGTAACTAAGCTGGAACATGCAACATTTGAAAAGGCACTGAAACTGACCAAAGAGAAGCTTTCACAATTTACTAAATCTCCCCTTCTCACCCACTGTGCCAAACAATACTCGTGACGTCAGCACAAGATTATTTCCTCCATTTCCCTTACTGATAATTAGCTTCCAACAGACTGACCATTCTGCTTAGTTCCTGATTAAAAATGGGTCCCTTAACTGCCACTTGGATGTTAATTGGTGTCACTTATTCTCAGCCTGATAATTTGGCCAATGGGCTGTTTGAGTTTGGAAAATTGGCTTGTGACAAAAGTGCGTCTGTGCTTTTGGTGTGAATGACATATGTGATATGTGATATGTTCTTGTGTCTACCCATAATTCTGCTTGGCTCCTTAAAGTAATTTCCTTTGTTTGGTTGCTGTTTACAAAATAGTTTTTATTTTATGATTTGAAGTGGTAGGAAAATATATTACATTTTGTAGAGGGTGCACTAGTTTGATGCTACTCTATAAGGAGAAACACTAAACAATGACATGTGTTTCCATCCACCTTTATCAGCAATGTCCAGGCTGGACATAAAAAAAGTGTAAAAAAAGTTTTTAAACTAGGTGGAGGTGAACAAGTGGGCGTATCAATAAAAGCAAAATGGGACAAAGTGCAATGGAAATAGACAAATACATCTGCTACAGGTACGGAACAGTGAGTCCAAACACAAATGAAGCATGTCACTTAAACGTCCAATAAAGCTTCCACTAAACAGACTAAAAATTGCGACGAAAACCTGACCTGTGTGGAGTGATGAGCAGACTGTGATGTTCCTAAAATTAGTGCATAAAACAAACAAATGCCACATTTACATCATCATATGTTTTTCCACTATTTCCACTTGTGTGTTACAACATACACCAATCAGCCATAATATTATAACCACTGACAGGTGACAAGTAAATAACACTGATTATCTCGTTATCATGGCACCTTGTCAGGTGCGTTGGGCATATATTTTGAACATTTTGGCCCTCAAGGGGCTGAAGGTGTTAGAAGCCAGGGAAAAATATTTATCAGTGCGAGGATTTGAGCGACTCTGACAAGGGGCCAAATTGTGATGGCTAGAGCGACTGGGGGTCAGAGCATCTCCAAAGCTGCAGCTCTTGTGGGATGATCCCGGTCTGCAGTGGTCAGTACCTATCAAAAGTGGTCCAAGGAAGGAAAAGTGGTGAATTGGTGACAGGGTTATGGGCGACCAACGCTCACTGATGCATGTAGGCAGCAAAGGCTGACGAGAAACTGCTGAAAAAGTTAAGGCTGGTTCTGATAGAAAGGTGCCAGAACACACAGCGTATCACTGTTTGTTGTGTATGGGGTTGCATAACATTATGACCATTAGGGTGCCAGATGGACATAATGTTATGGCTGATCATTTTATACAAATAGTCCGCGATGTGTGTCTGATGTGTTTTTTTTTTAGCAAAAAAAGGTATAATTTCCACATAAAAATCTTTAAAAAGGCATCCACTCCCTTTACCTCATTAAAAATGTCTGAATCTATGAATATAAAAATATTTTCTAAAGACACACTTTGAAGTACATTCTTAGTGTATGTGCACTGGTGGCTTCAAGGTTCATCACACTTGTATAAGTTGCATACTAGACCAGGACTCATACATCATTGTGCAAAATGAAGCTCAAACATTCAACTGTAGGAACAAGAAGGAATACATATTTTTGAGTGGAGGGGGACTTTAAATTTTAGAGCTGCCTTAAGTCAAAAGCCTGTTTCTGATGTCTGCTTTTTGTCCTTGCATGACAAGAGTTTTAATGAGTCCCAAGTGAAAACAAAATGTGCTAAATGGGTCATAAACAACACGACAATTCATATTCAGTTCATATTCAGTTCAATCAGTTACGGATGTCCTCAAATCAAATTAATAAAAAAAAACATTGCATTAAGCATGAATGTATGTGATGTATTTGTATTATGGATTTATAGGATTGAACTGAAACAGTGTTGAGCTTTCAATGACAGTACCTTTTCTCAGGCTTGGTAACAGTCGGTAGTTTGTCATCAGTGAAGACTGAGTTGAGGGCCCGGTGTAATCTCTGGAAAAACAAACACCACGTCAGCTGTCACATGCTTACTTTTATCTGTTTTTCTATGATTATTCTGTTGTTTATTGGGAGGTTTAGAGGCTATGAGTGTTTTTGCACATGCGTGTGTTAGTGAGAAAGGGGAGAGAGAAAGACAAAGAAAGGAAGAACAATAGTAAAATGTATCACCGTCTAAATACTTATGGACTGCACTTTTCTATGCAAATAGTTCTGTACTTGTGGTGATTGTAATGTGATTCGGCTGACTGAAATGCTGTTCTTTGCCAACTCATGATTGAAATGGTGCTTTACTGTGTTGTATATGTGCCTATTTGCGTGTGAGTTCAGTACCTGGCTAGTGTGGAGCCAGTATTTGAAGCGCGGTTCCTTCACCCTCGGGATCACCAGCTTGTACACGATATGTTCTGCTATTGTGGTCAGTAGAGATAAGGCCACGCCCACACAGAGCATCACAAACAGACCGGAGAAATGCTTTATACCCATCTGCAGCGTCTGGAGAGACACGGAGTGAGTGAGTAAGAGAGGTTATGGGCAGGCAAAGGAGACAGAAAGGAGATGCAGAGAATATGAAATCAGGGGTGCATTATGTTTTGCTCCTACTGGAGGAGAAGAAAATTCTGTCTAGGAGGTAAAATTATAAAACGTCCCTCAGGTTGTGTTGCATGGTGGTAAAACAGACATGTAACAAGATAAAACAAGAATTCACATTACAACATTTATGTTTAATTATTCATAATACAGTTGCAATTCCTATTGTCTGTGTACAGTATGCAAGCCACATCATACAATATGCATACTTTTGCAGAAGGTGAGCTCAATGAATTGACTATGGCAATGACACTGACATGTAATTGTCTTCAAGATAACGCATTTGATTCTGTTTCTTGTGTTTTGTTCCTATCTGTTGTCTTTTTTTAAACTGGTGTTCTGTGTTTTATATTTGTATTGTAATAAATTAATTGAGAACAATAGTAAAGTTTGGGCATCCTTATCTTACTCAAGCAGATGTTGTTTTCTGCTGTAGGCGTGGCAGTAGTGTTTGGCTGGCGTACGCAAAATTGTTTCTTAAGTTAATACTTTTAAGATAAAACTTGTGTAATTGTTTTAATTATTTTTTTTGTTGTTGCCATTATTACCCATGAAATATGTGAACCAACTGATGTATTCACCACAGTCTAAAGTTCCTTAACTGTCTCTATTACACCAAGTTTGGCCGACCTCCCAGGAGTCATCGGTTCCCATTGTTTTCAAAATTCCATTAAAAACAGCTTGCATAGACAAAACGCAGCACTGACAAACCTAATGCATCATGTATTTATTTCCATAACTTGACTTTATAACACCAAAATCACTGCAGCTGCAGTTGTAAAAGTTTTAAAAAAATTAGTGTGAGGAGACTGTTGCTTAGGTGTGCTTTCAACTTTATTTTCACTCCTATCAGAAAGGCATAAAGCCGTGGTAAAAAAATATAATATTGTTTGAACTGAATAATTCATAAATTACCTGTGTACAGTATCAGATAATTAGACATTTGAAATAAAATAATCACCATTTCTAAGTTTCTTCTCCTGGAAAACAATGTTTTCTATTTAAATCAGTGTGAGATTTTGACTTCTTTCTCATTCTCCACACTTATCATCTCACTGTGGGAGACAATTCTCATTAAGATTGTGATATTTACCCCCCTCACATCTTAATTTGCACTCATTCTATTCTGGACGTGTCACTTTGGGGCAAACCTCTTACAAATGCACCATGAGTCTGCAAGTATAGCCATCGACTACCGTGATATCACATTTTCCCTTAATTGAGCACCTGTTGCAGTTACTGCAGATGTACACTCTCATATGAATCTTTTTACTGCTGAGTATGGAACAGCCGCAGCTGCAATGATTGCATTATAAAGTCATGTTGGAAAAAGAATACATGATGGATTAAATTCGTCATTGCTGTATTGTGACTTGGCGAGCTGGCTGTAATGAAATCTTGGAGAGTGGGAGCTGATGATTCCCAGGAAGTCTGGCAATACAGACAGTACTGTCATCTGACTGCTGCTGGGGAAGACATTTTAAACTTTCTGGGGATTCATTTGGATAGGAAAAAGATAAAATGACTATGGTATTATCCTTTAAGAGTAAGACAAGCTTACTGTGGATACATGACATTAATCTAATCTAATACTTAGCTCTAGTGCATAAAAAGCAGTGTAAGTTATTGTGTATCAACCCACTCCAAAATTCCTTACAGTTGAGGACGTTCTTTGGATCAGCACATTTAAGCAAATATTCTACCAAGTTTTGGCAACACACACTTCCTGTCTCTTTCGCTGTGTGCAGCCATATAGAACAATGATTTCTCATTCTGTTTTTTTTTTTTTTACCTTCTTTGGTTCACCACACTCATTGATTAATTGCATAAATTTGCTGCAAAAATCTATGAACAACTTCAATAAAGCACATAACACTCATAATCTTTGTCCCTTTGATCACAATTTATTTCTTGGTAATGTTAAGTTGGGGCCCTCTTGATGTTAGGTAATTGAATAATATGTCATTTATTGGTATTGATTTTATTACTTCAAATGGGATCAACTTCTTTGGGGTGACAGCGAGCTGGCTTAATGCCAGAGAGTTTGGCTGCCTCACTGAAGCCAATCCATCAGATTTTTCATCTCTTCAGAATGCCAGGCTTGAGGCTGAAAAAACTGAAAAAAAAATTGCTGAGCAGGACTAAACTGAGCCAGCCTAGTGAGTAATTCGTATTGCTTATATCACATGAATTTCCTGCTGATGTTGTCCAGTGTTCCTTTGGACAGCCCATTGTAACTTTACCAAAACATGTTACTTTTATTAGACTTTCTGGGCACATGGAGTTTCAGTTTAGGTTGATTTAATTAAATGATACACACTCTTTATAACTTAGAACATTATCTATAATGGGAGAGGTAGAAGTGTGCACATGGCCACCACATTGTGTTTTCTACATGGCATTGGACTGATGCTGTATGTAAAGTTAAAATGACACACAGATGAAGTAAAATACTGGTCAAGCAGCTTTCTCTGCTGTCACAGTAGGCAGGTGGGGGCATGATACTGCAAAATGAAATGTGCCTCAAACTATTTAAATGTCTGCAACGGTAGATAGCATCTGTAACACGTCTAGCTGTTACACAGTGAAAAATGGTTCACTTCACCGACACTGAATCAGTTCACTGAAATGTACTACCTCTGCTACTCATATGAGTCACAAAATGGTAATTTACATTTATGAATTACATATTGCTGTCATTCAGAATGCACACACCAGGAGTGCTTCTTAATTAGACATCTTAATGAGCAACCAGTAGAGGCTATGTGGCTTGGAAAAGAAAAATGTCATACTGTCGCTAAAAATAAATAATAAAAAGGAAAAGTAGAAATACAGGAAAAACACGGGCAGAGGGGTGCATTAATTTCTCTATGAAGAAGTGAGTTTTTAATTCATGCTTGGTAGGGAGTGTGCAGTCCGCACTGAGCTAGCCACTTTGGGGGTTTCCAGAGTCACAGCTGGGCGGAGAGATGGCCAGGCTGCTAAGAGAGCTAAGTGCTCTGTAATAGCAGAACAGAATGGACCACAGGCCCTGGACTGTTTAGGACTGAAGTTATGACAGGGACACAGCTTGGTTAGCAGCTGGGGGGTCAGGGGCCAGGGTCTGAATTAGTGAGGAGCAATTACTGTACGTGGAGACAGTTCAGGCAAAGTATTCTGCGAGAACAGATATAAAAATTGTTAAACAAGAAGCAGAGTTCTTGGTAAGGAAAAGGGAATTATAAAAACCAACTCCACTTAATAAAGAGGCAGGAAAGCTCTGTCTATATGATTATAGTAATTCAGATTATGAAATCCAAATAACCAGAGAGATAGTTTATTTTATTTTAGATTTTATGATACAGACTGTTCCTTTATAGTGACATTATCATTTGTACTACTGCTGTACTTAAAGTGGCATTAAAGGCTTTAGCATTCATTTAGAGTCCCATTTCTGTCTGTCTAACAAATATGTTCAGTGGTAACTCTACCTTTGGTCTCCACTAACCCTCAGAGGAAATATTGGGCTTTTACTGCTACTAAGCGCTTCACAGATTTCAGCAGGTGGATTCTCACTTTGCCTGTCTGCTGCAGCTGGAGAAGAGGATGATGAGAGCAGTGGGATGAAACCAAACAAGAAGATTGCAGGCTGGAAATTTAAAACAATGTGCTGGAAGATGCTAAAACGCTCTATAGAGCTGGGACTGCAGAGTTGGGTGATCATTTTCTGCAGGCTTGTTATGAGCAAACCATTACACATTGCATTTGATTCATTGCTACTATAAAAATATTGATTAGGTATGCTTGGTGTAAAAAGCGTATAAGACCAGCTTAAACAAACCTTTATATTTAAACCATATACATAGGTCATGAAAGAAGGATACAATATTTTAAAATTCATCTATTTAAATATCTCTATCATACAAAACAGTGCATTTGCTGCTATTGTGTGTAACAGGTGGTTTTGTTCCTACCTCAGTGACAGCGAAGCTGCGCTTCCCGCAGGGGACAACCTTGTACCATTTGTCATGCAGCATGTCCATGAAGCCATCTGACTTGTACTGACTAACAAGCTCTGAGATGTTGGAGGTGAGTGGAGAGTTCTGAGGGAGGCCAATCCCATAGCCTGCCAGCGGAAATACACAGTACAGACTCATTACTCCTCTGTCACAACAACAAAATCATTTTCACTTCACCTCCATCTACCGCCATTATATTCTGTCACTGGTTTAGAGCTGTGCACAAGAATAAGGAAAATAACTGAACAGAATGGAAAGAAAGGAGAAATGTCTTCGTGCTTATCAGAAAGCACCACTGTCACTCTAAAACAAAGCTGCCACTTGACATTGCAAGTAAATCTCAGAATTTCTTAGCATGCCAGGAAAGTGTGACAAATTCAGCAATGGCCAATTACAGAAGTACCTTGCCTTGGTAGGAAGTACACTGATTGATTTGTATTGTATCCTGAAGGCTTAAGGGTGCATTAAGTAATTAACGACAACGCTGGAATCTGGGACTGTGGTGGCCTGTAATGGAAGCAACCACCATGGGAACATTTTCACAGTGGGAGGAAGAAGCTTGCTAAATGGACCAGAGATTAACAGTAGACAGAAGAGAATCTAAGCTGTTGAAAGCCAGACGATTAACCGCTGTGTTAATGTTGAGTGATTGATATTGTTATATTTAGGCCTGTCCTAAAACTGCTCATGGTCATGCAGAAAGACCTCTTAAAATCTAGTGATAATTAAAAACCAAACATATTTGTGAATACTGTTCTAGTGCCACTCTCCAGAGTAGTGTTTTCAAGCAATGACTGACTTATTATCTAAAATATTTTTAATAAATAAATAACTTTAATTAATTAGCCAAAAAATCCATTAAGATAGAAAAGCCACACATGTATTAAATTAAATTTTTTGTAATTTGTCACATAATAAACTTCCATGCATTACCTTCTATAGCAAAGGGTTTTCCGACTGTTAGTGTTTTGCAGTCGGCGTCTATGGAGACCTCATAGTCCAGCAGAGCTTTGTCCATGATGAATGCATCCAGCCGCTGAGGGTCGGCCCTGTAAACACACAGAAAGCAGATACATGGTAGTGCAGATGTAGCAAGAAGTCACACATTTTGCTTCATGCATGCTAGAGATCGCAAGTGGTTCTCCACACATGGAAACTGTAGGGATTTCCCAAATTCTGTTTTGTTTACAGCTGAAGTGCAATGACGGAATCTTGACTGATACGGTGAGAGCTCAGCTTTAATACTTACCGAACTATACAGCATAAACACAACATGTTGTACTAATTAAACATTTCAGTGCACACAAATTATGCAAGCTCTCAAAATAAACAGTTGTAGAATCAAGTAAATCATTACACAAAATATGATCACAAATATATGGCATTGTGTGTGATGTTCACACAATTATGGTGGAGCAGAGTGTTAATTGTGCCTTTAGGATTTATGAGAATCTGATTAGTGATATTTGAAATGCTTTGATGGATGACTGGACAGACAGACAGACAGATGAACTGAGACATAGTCACTCTTCTAAATTCACTGTGGTAACTAAAATGACCATAGCACTAACAAAACTCAAACAACAACAAATAACTTCTCCTGAGACATAAACTTAAATTAACCTTACTTTGTCATCTCACTCCTGCTCTGCTGCTATGAGTCTTATTTCTCTTTCTGTCCTCATGTTACAACACTGACCTTACAGAATGAGTGTAAAGAGGTTGATTTGTCTGTTTTGGTAGGTCATAGATGTAAACTTCATGCTTTCACTTCATTTTATGGATACGGTAAAGTTGAATAGACTGAAAAAGCTTGTGAGGGTTTGTTTTGTGCTTGACATTCAAAACAAAGGTCCAATGATTGTCCAATGATAAAGCATACAATCTTACTCATATTGTAGACATACTTAACACAGCAATAAGTGGTGAAAAAACTAAAATGAATAAATAAATAATCATGGGAGAATGAATTGTTTTGCTTTGTGCTTTTGGGTATTTTATAGAGCCTTTCAGAGGGCAGCTTACTGCAATCACTGAAAATGGGATGTAAATGATTCAACAAACTTCTCACAACCTCTTTGCCTCGTCTGAACCGCATATTTTTCAGGCTGTTCTTGCCCGTGGTTTTCCAATACTCTTCCTGGCCACGTGCCAGTAAAATTATAGTTTCTGCCAATTTACTCGCATTCCTCACTCCGAGTCTTTTATACGGAGGTGAGATATTAAATCGCAAACGCTCTCCGTGAGGCTTTTGCAAATCAACTCAAAATGTCTTTACTGACAGCCAATGCCTGCTGGGATACAAATACTACAAAGCCTTTTCAAGATATTCTCTATATTTTGCTCCTTGTTATCAAGGACAGTGTTTGAAATCCTCCGCTATCTACTCTGCACAAGCTGGCTGTTTATTATTACAGGTTGAATTAGGTTGCAGCCTGGTTGCAGCTTATGTCCTTGTCTTCCCCCCATAGTATGCTATTGATGTTATGTATTTTATGACCAGTGCACTTCTTCAACCTCAACTAGTTACCTACCCAAAATGATTAAAACATGATGCTGTCTTTTCTGCATTATCCTCCTGTAGTGATGTCTGTAAAAGTAGCTGAATCATATTTTTGCATCCAGGTGGCAAGAATGGAAAATGCTGCTAGTGACAGGACAAGTTTCTGCATTGTGGCTTTACCTAATACAAGGCGATGTGAGACACAGCAGTTCTGTTAAAGTTGAATCACTGAGGTCAACCAGGGAAAAATCTTCATGAAAAGCCCTAAGGTAAGACCTGTTAGCACCCAGGTTAAAACTGCTCTCAAATAATACATTGTTTTATTTCAAGTGTGATCTTATGTTATGCGAGACTGTATTAAGGCACATAAAAGCATATTTGCCACTTCAATAAGCAAGCCAAAATAGCATAATGGCAGATGTCTGATGCTCCAGTCAGTGCACTTTCTCAAAATGGTCTAATTGTATAGCAGACAGGTTGTAGTTAGTAGTTGTTTTTCAGTTGCTGTGGTGAGACATGTTCATTAAGCTGAAACACTGGTAAAAAAATAATTGACAAAAACACATACTGTCATGGGTGCATAGTGTGCAGGGATGAGAAATAAGACAACTGCAAATAGACCTCTAAATTTCAGTAAATGTACACAAGAAATGGTTTTATAGCAATCTGGGTTAAGGACATTTTGTATCTATCATAACAAAACAAAAACAAACAAAAATATATTGATACAAAATATTAGGAAGCACTTTTCATTAGACAGATAGTTGCAGAAAAAAATAATAATGTCTAACTTGGGAGCTTGTTCAAGGACTGCGCCTTGTCACGGGACTAAAGTAGCAGGGGATTGTTACAACATGGACCTTTGCTCTTGTAACAGTAACTGGGAGGTCGAAGGACAGTTTTTTTACACTACTAGCACAGGAGAATGAGCATGAGAACTGGAGCTGGCTGAGCGGGCAATAGAGGTCAGGTGATTTACAGCGGCTCGAACCCGGACTCTGACTCCGGGTAGGACAAAGACATGGTGTGTTCAGGCAGGGACAGGAGAAGAGTGAGTTTGTAATAATTTGTAATTGATTTATAACTAACTAACTGTTAACTGTTAAAGTTTGTTTTTTGGGTAGTTGGAAATTATTTATTCCCTGTTTTGATCAGCGGGATTTGTGTGATGTTACTCTGTGTTGAAATAAATTCTAAAAACTACATATTCAGTCTCCTTCAGAATCCTTCACAATCAGTCATATTCTCAGAATCATTACAGTGTATTCTGTTCACACAGGCAGCTCATAAAATATAGACATATATGTATTTAGATAATTCAATTAATGTCATAAATGTGCTACAACTAGTCGACTAATGGCTTAACGACTACTCAAATATGATCATGGTCATGATGATCCAAAGTAAAATCCAAAATGACGAAAATTAAAAAGTAAAAAAAACATCAACTGTCCTTGCTCCATGTTGCAATTAAAACTATGGAAGTTGTAAATAGCCTCAATTGTCTCAATAAGTATTTAATGCAAAAGGCCAATTTCTCAACATAACAAGATCATTTATCATAATGAAGCAACTTCTGTTTTTTCAAGATCACAGAATAATTATTTTAAGCTATTAATTTCGATGCAAGGATGCAATACTGACAAAATATATCAAGAGATATATAAGATTTATTAAATGAGCTCAAAGATCCCTGCAATGTCCAGATTCTTTAAATGCACTTTTTCCTGACTCCTGGCTCATTTTTGTCAGTATGAAAATTAACATTTACTGGCATGTATCATGCCATTCCCCCTTGTGTTGTCTCATTATAATTAATGAGGGGAAACAAATGTTTGTTTGTTTCACGATAATTAGTTGATTATCTTGGTATCTTGAGATAACAAAACTTGTTTTCTCAAGGTAACAAAATAATAATTTTTTGGTCTCATGATAAGACATAAAACAAAAATTCACAGTTTCCTTATAAAACTTTAAAAAATTCAAGATGATTTTAAAATACATGTATTTGCTAGAGTTGCAGGCTTTGTTTCTTCAATCTGTGAAATAACTTTAACCTAACAGCACCTTTAACACTTGGATGGACTGTAGAAACCCAAAATACAATGCATGTGGAATTTAATCTCCACATGGGGCTACTGCTGTCAATGCACTGTACAGTAGCTGCATTATACTATAACATGAGAGTCCAGTGCACACATGGAATACTATATGATTATGTAACTGATAACTAACGCCTGGTGCCTTGGGAAAGAACCCCTGAGACCTGAGTGTTCATAGTTGCATTGCGGTACACTTGTATGCTGTCTTGTTCCCCAGTTGTAATTTTCTAAAGATGACATTTTCCCTTGAACCTTCTAATCAGCGTTTTACAAGCTCAGTAAAAAAAAGAAAAATCTTGTTTCATCCACTCAGTGTCCTTCCCAGCCTAGGCCTGCATTCCAGCTGCCTTTTCTCACTATATTCTGCTTTGCTCCACAGGGATGCTGGTTGAATGTTGAAGCAGCTTAGGATGACAGCAGTGGCAGGGTAAGGAGGAGGGTGGGATCTGAATGCAAACAGGCAGGCTTGTGGTGGGGAATGACAGAATTTTTTTTCCTTTAGATTTTTGACTTTCCTTGGACACGCAAGATTCCTTTTTTTTCAAAGATGATACAATGATGATGATAAAAAAGATGAAGATTTTTTTTGCATTTGTGTAACCAGAAAGGAGTTGATTTTCAGGGAATGATGACAGCAAGAGATAACTGGTTGAGTAGTTACTGGATATTAGAGGACAGATGACAGTGATACCAGCAATGAATTGGTACAGTACATAATTTCTTATGAGTGTGTACCTGAATGTTTATGTGTGTGTCTGCATTATGTGTGTACTCTAAAGTATATATAACATTGTCTTACTTGAGTTGATGTATGCCATCTGGTGTTGCAGGGACATTATATCTTCTCATGTACTCATGCATCTCAGGGAAACTCTTCTTGAGGTAGTCCTCTGCACTGCTTTCTCTCACTGTGGCAAATCTGAATCCCTGAGAGGGATGGTGCAACTGCAGGAAAGAAGAAATAAATCAAGATGTTACCTTTACAATGACTTCAAAAAGCAGTAATATTGATTAATATCGATATTTTTTATTTTTGGTCTGTTTCTCTTTTCCCCAATTGGATTTTTTTCTCAGATGCAGGAGGGAAGTTTGAAACATTTTACTGATTTGCTTTTTTTATTTTATTTTTTGGAACCGACTCTTAATATCCCTGCACTCCTGTGATTCAAAGAGTTGGTGAGTTGACAAAAGGAATTAATTACCTTACACCAAGTGCCCTTACAAAGGTGGCCTAATTAAAGAATATATTTGCTGACTTAAAGTTTAAAAGACTGTACTCTATACAAGAAGGGCTCTTCCAACATTTAGTACAGATACCTAACCTTGTGGTCTGCAGCCTTTTTAAGTGATCTTTAGGGACATTTTTGAAGAGAAATTCCAAAAGAGCCTCAGAACCAAAATGTCATTATTTCATCATAATAAATTAATAAAGAAAAAAAAATGAAAAGAAAATGTATATTGTATAGTCTGACAACAGAGCCAAGAGGAGGTGCAGGAGTCGGAAGTTTTCTCTCAGACCACTTGAATTATGATATGCTGAAGGGTTATTATAGATTTGTTTCCCCAGTGATGCAAAAAAAAAATGCCTACCCCAGCTTTAAATATTCATGACTACAAGCAAGTCACAAAAACTACTTCAGGTACTATTTATTAGGAGTAAAAAAAACAAAACTCTGCTATCATGAATGTGTGGGTGTGGTTTGATATGATTTGACTGACAGTGACCCAACAACCCAACTGTCAATCAGATTCTTATTCAAGTGTTTCTGAATCCTGAATGGTCTGAGGATGCATGTGACCCGCCCACTTAAAACCAGTGAGAAAAGAAAGGAATAATTTTTCTTATGTGAAATAATCAAAACTGTTATAGATTAATGTAGTATCTATCAACTTTAGACTTTTGTACCTTTGGGTCATGAATCCCTGACAGTTGTTCATAGGTCTTCTCCCCGACCATGACAGCAGCTAGATTAGCAGTGTAGGTTGACAAACAGAACAGACAGAAGATGGCCCAGAGGTTCATCAGCAGGCGGCCTGTCCAACACTTCGGTGGCTTGATGGCCACCGTTCTTCCAAAGAGAATAGCGTAGCACACGTTGAGTGCTGAGGAGAAGGAGAACACCCGGTCGCGGTTGCGTCCACGTGGTGTCATGCCAAAGGGGCTGTGCCACTCATACAGGGTGAGAAAGACAGCAGTGACATGGAGGGAGACGAAGATGCCGAGCCACATGGACCAGTGAAGAGGCCACATGAAGGCACCGATGGGTGCAGCTGTGTCACGAGTACGAACCTGGATAATGGGTGGACACAGGGTTAGAAAACTTTTAGAACTGATTTAATAAAAGTGTCATTTATTGTTCTCAATTTTTACAGGCTGTTCGTGTTTGGGATAAGCCCCCAACATGAGTGTCTGAAAGCAAAATCTTTTTCTGATATGTAATGGGGATAAAGGGGTTAGGACTGGGAAATCAATAACAAGTGTGGCAGCTGTTTCAGCATTGGGCTAAGGTGTTTGGTTATTTGCTCATCAGAAATTCAGTAACCGATTACATAGATTTATTTCACCAATTTTAGCTAGAAGCTGAAACAGGATCAGGAGACTTACAAAAAGTCACAGATGCAAGATGGGATACTATAATGAAAACAGTTCACTAGTTCAGGGAAGCCACAAACTCCCTAGGCTGCCATTAATTGTACAAAAATGTGTCTCATAATCCAAAAGTTTACTGTTATCAAATGCAAATCTACTGGTTGGTGACACTGTTATATGTACAAAAAAAAAAAAGTACTGACCAGAATTCCCAGGCTGGTGGAGAAGAAGGGCGAGGTGAAGTCAATGACTTGGCTTCTGGCTGAATTAATGCTAAAAGATGTCACTGCCAGGTGGGCAGCGCCACTGAGCAGATCACCCACCAATCCTGTCCAGCGACCATTCTTGAAGCCCCCATACTTCCCATCACCTACAATATAGAGATCAAAAGTGAAGCCCATGTCCTCTGCCAGCTTCTCCAGCAGGTCAACGCAGTAACCATAACAACACTTTTTGTGCTCTGTGGGAACTGATATGTTGTGTCCTGCAAGGTTCTGGAAAAGTCGTTCCAAAACCGAGGAGTCATTGGTGAGCGGGTCGAGGCACAACTGGCCTGCGGGACACAACCCATCCCCATCCACCTCACGGGTAAATACAAACGGGTGCTCCACTAGTGTCACCACCCGCATGTGCAGTCGTGTGGATCGGCGCCAGTCACCTCCAACCCCAGAACCTTGATGGCTTGGCCAGGCCCCCTGGTCCATCAGAACTTTCCCCCTGCGCCAGCGTCCCAGGCGGGTCCAGGTTGGCTGGCCTAGGGGGTCCAGCTGGAGGGACCAGATGTAGTGATGGGCCTCAGAGATGACATTCTGGCTGTGACTGTCTCTGGATATAAAACCACTCTGGCCCTCAAATGATGTGTTGGATAGAAATCTGAGGGGAATGAGGAGAAAAAGAATAAAGAAATGGCAGAGAAAAAGGGGGAGATATGGGGAGGAGAGTGGTGGAAGGAGAATGAGAGGGAAAGAGGATAGCAGAAGAGTTAGAGGAGGAAAAATCATCTTTTGTCGTTTCATAATTTAAGTTGACCTGTGGGAGGACAAAGTATATTATTTGCATTTCCTTTCTTGCAAGTGTATGGAAATAACTGAAAACTTGGAAAAACATTTTTCTTCTATATGATAAGTTTATAAAGTTCAAACTGGGATTTTAGCATTGGTTACATAAATGCACCCTTATAGACTTGACATAGTGACAGTTGTTTTGAGAAACATGGGCAGAGCACGGTGATGTCTGTTTACCTCTGTTGCCCACTAGTGACGAAATCTATGAATAGGGAGAATGATCATTAGTCAATAATTAGTTTCATCCTTCCTGCAAAAAACATTTACTTTTAAGTGGTCGACTGAAAAGTCTAAAAATGTAACATTTTATGTTTATATTTGCTCTTCCAATTGCAATTTTATTATTTTTATTTTATTTTATGAGGCATTAAAAAAATCAAACACTGACTTAAATGTTTCAGTTTTGCTACAGTAGTTTAAAGCTTGAAATTTCTTTCTTGCTTATGATATAAAGGAGTTTACTTCAAACTAAAGTGGGTTTAAGCATTCTTAGGCACTATTCTCTTCAGGAGGGGTGTCAAATTTATTTTATTTCAAGTGCCACATACAGCCCAATTTGATCCGAAGTGGTTCCGTTTCTTTTAGTTTTAAGAAGTGCATGCTGAAAACATTCACAATTAATGAACCATCCATTTACAAAACAAGTGATGAATGGCCTGAGAAGTCAACAATATGTTGACACTGGATTTGGAATTAATTACTTCTCACCAGTTTTCACACTTTGTCATTCAGTGGGCTTGGGACAGCTGAAGAGTGACAGGAAAGGCGAGAAAGAGAGGGGACGACACGCAGCAAAGGGCCACAGGTCAGATTCAAACACAGGGCCTCTACAGAAAGGACTCACCCTTGGTACATGGGGTGCCAGCTCTACCAGGTGAGCTAACCAGGTGCCCAGACAGTTCATGTTTGACCTTGGAAACATATTTCAGTTCCATCAGTTCCACGGTAATCTGCTTATGAGGACATTGTGATACGGTCAAAAACTGAGCACGCAAGTAAGTGAACCTCAAGTTGAGATTGTTTTGTCAACTACTCCACTAATGCTACAGAAAGATCAAATTTTGTCGTTAAAAATTACTTGGTTAAAATTACAGAAACAATTGTAGTCTTGTTTAAAATAAGAATTACTTGGTTAAAGTTACTGACAGTTTGTGGTTGCCAAGTTCTTTTAAATGGGAAACAGACAGCAGTTTCCACTGTCAAAGCCACATTCTTTGTTGACTCATCGATCCAGCTCGGCCTGCTCCCTGAGAGGATTTGCTGTGCTGTAACATTGTGCTACACTACGTCCAACTTTTGTACACATTAAACTAGGCTGATATGTTAAAAAGGATATGATGGTTAAATTCACAGTACTATTGACAAAACCTGAAACCTAATGACACACGACCACAAAGTGAGAGGCATGGAACAAATCATAAAATCAAGTTAACTGCAAGATGTTCAGCTGCTAAAGAAGTTTTCTGCTGTCTTGCTTTTTTTTGGTCATTTGCCAAGAAGAAAACCACCTTTTTGCTTTTCCAGGAACTTTAGGATTTCTGTAGCTGTGATTTACTGGCTTAAATGTACGATTATATTTTACCCTTGGTTAGTTTATAAAAAAAATCCCAATTTAATGGTGTAACACCAGAATCGGCGAGGTATATTATCTTGGTGGCCTCAGTGGCTGTCTAGAGTGTGTTTGTGTGTGTATGCCTGTGTGTGTGTGTGTGTGTGTGTGTGACAGGATAAGACAGACCACGGTCCAGTGATTACGCCATCTCTCTCACTGAGCCATGCTACTGGCTGTCTGAGAGTGTCAGATACCGGAGCAGACGCACACACTCGCACCCACACACAGAAAAACACCCCCACACACACTTGTCCACTGGAATGGATATGTTTATGTGCAAGAAGGAATGCATGGCATCCATTCTGTGCAAATAGATTCACACCTCTTCCATATGCCTTCAGGAGGTAATGATGTAAATGATGTGACCTTTTCTGAAATATCTCTTTTGTGTCACCTTGCTCACTGGAAAATTCCCCTTTCCACCACCTTGTCTACTTTCCTACGTCTTTAACTGCTGTTAAGTCAAACTGACAGCTCAACTAGTCCGTCTGAAGGTCAGTGTCTTCACTGCAGCTTGTAGATGTTAAGCTACCTGGGGAGTGTGTCTTTTTCCTCATTGTGCACAGTGGAAGTGACATGCTCTTGACAGCACAGAGGGTGTTGCGTGTTAAAAGTGAAATGTCACATTTTAGTAAAAGGTCACATATTAGAAGAGTTAATATTTCGTGTTAAGTCGAGACATGGGGAGGATTTTAGTGTCTTTTATTGTTGGAATCTGAAGTTACAGACAGTTTTAGACTAATACTGGCAAGCATGTCTGCTGAGTGGAGTTGTATAAGTAGTTATTCACATTCTTTCCTGAAGCAGAAAGTTCTTTAAAGCTATAGATGCTCTATTTCACTCTAAGGTCACTCCGACATCAATCTATCCCACTAGTGTAAAAAACATGCTACAACAAACAGGCTAAGATACAGTAAGTGTGCTGAGTGTACATGTGGATTTTTCCATGTAACTCATTTTAAAGGATTTGATGGACCATATTCTCTCATGCATGAACAGGAAGCAGGTCGGGAGCAGTAAGCAGAAAAAGCCCAGAGCAGAGAGACTACACTGGCTGTGGAGCGGAAATAGCTGCCGCTCCACTCACATAATCAGAACTCCAAGGTGCTTATTACAACTTGGCTTGATCCTGATTTGCTCCACTTATTAATGAAATATTGGCTATTGACTCTAATTGGGCGGCAGTAGCTCAGTGTGTAGGGACTAGGCCTGAGAACCTCCTGTGCACTGCCGAGGTGCCCTTGAGCAAGGCAATTAAAGATAGACTAGCATAGATAGATAGAGTAGCATAGAGTAGATAGATAGATACGATAGATAGATAGATAGGATTAGATTAGACTAGAGATAGAAGGTTTAATTTA